AGGGCAGTGCCCCAACCCCCCAATAGGCCCTACCCTGAGCGTGACTGAGGGTGGCATCCCAACCTCCCGATCCGCCTGCTATGTACTAGACAGGGTGCGGCGCCCCAACTCCCCAATTGCCCTGCTCTGAGCCCGACCAGGGGCTGCACCTAGGGATTGGGCGTGCCCTCTGCCACCCGGGAGCAGGCCTAGTCCAGCAGGTCCTTATCTCCCGAGTGGTCCCAGACTGCGAGAGGTGCACAGGCCAGGCTGAGGGACCCCCCCCCCCCCCGAGTGCATAAATTTTTGTGCACCGGGCCTCTAGTACATAATAAAGCAAGAGAGAATCTTACAAAGGTGATAAGGTATAAGGTGCTAGAAAATGAGGAATACAACTGACCCAACTATTCCCCTCTGAGATCTGAAAATAAATGACATTCAAAAATGAAGCTCATCTAGAATAGCTACATATATCTGCAGGGACAGCAGAGTATAATGGAATAACTTTGAGCCTGGATCCGAATCTTAGTGCTACTGTGTATAGCTGTTCCTCCTCCCTAAAGACTCAGTGTCCTTCTCTTAGCGAGGACCTAATGGCTGCACAGCTGCTGAAGCCTACAAGGCCCTCTAAATATCCTGGAGCAACTCCAGAACCTGGCAAGGCAAAGGAACAAATGCACCCAGGGTTGCTAGCAGTCTACACAGTTCTAGGAGCAGAGTGAGAGCTCACTAGAATCATCAGCTCTATCTGTTAAATGGGCATTTCAAGTCCTTGAACTTTTCTGAGTTTCCATTATCTCTGTAACACAGAAAATAAACTTCAGCAACACCTTGAGAGCACCAGAAGGAATGAGAAGAATTTGTGATCACTGGTATCTACCAGAAACAAGTCATAAGCATCACAGTCAGCACACACTGAAGTAAAAAATGTGACAAAAATGCCTACTGACACTGCTACTATTTACCAGTTTCCTAGAAATGCTAGCAAATGCAATAAAATAAGACTTTAATAAAGAGGCAGTAAAAATATTAGAAAGAGATGACAATCATTAGTTGTAGATGCTATGAGTTCACCTTCCTAGAAAATCCAAGTGAATCAAAATTAACACAATATGAAAATGAATACTAATTTTTCATCATTATTATTACTATTATGTGACCAAAAATAAAATCAACATATTCAAATGAGTGGCTTTCCTACACACCAGCAGCAATTAAATAGAAAAGATAGTAGAGGAGACTTGACTTGGGGTGGTGAATACACAATATAATATGCATATGATGTATTATAGAATTGTACACCTGAAACCTATATTATATAATTTTAATAAACAATGTCACCCCAATAAACTCAATTTTAAAAAGTGAATATGAAAAAATCCCATTCAAAACAGAAACAATGCTAGAAATAAATCTATAGCAAACATGCTACATCTACATGAAGAAAAAAGTTGTCTAATAGGTATAACAGTATATATTATTAAAAACATATATTGCCGTAGCCGGTTTCGCTCAGTGGATGGAGCGCCGACCTGCGGACTGGGGGGTCCCAGGTTCAATTCCGGTCAAGGGCATGTACCTTGGTTGCAGGCACATCCCCAGTAGGAGGTGTGCAGGAGGCAGCTGATCGATGTTTCTCTCTCATCACTGTTTCTAACTCTCTATCTCTCTCCCTTCCTCTCTGTAGAAAACCAGTAAAATATATTTAAATATATATATATATATATTTAAATATATATATATATATATATATATATATTTTGTTCTGGATGAGAGGATTCAATACCTTAAAATTCTCCTCCATTTATATTTTCAATGCAATCCAAAGTCCCAACATTATTTTGTCATAAAATTTGTCAAGCTGATCCTAAAATTCATCCAAAAAAGAAAAATTCTCAACTGGTTTGCCAAGACCCCCTGAGAGCTAAGCCTCGTCCCCCAGCGCAGCCCTGTCTCCTCTCCACAAGGAGATGAAAGAAACTATCCTGAATCAGGAGAAGCTCGCCAAACCACAGGCACAAGTGCGCGATGATGGTAAAGGAACACTCCTAGGAAGAAGGCGGTACACAGAACAGCTACAGCAGACATAAAAGCTTCAGTTCTCCTTAAAGAAGTTAGGGGTAAACAATATCTCTGGTATTGAAGAGGTTAATATGTTCAAAACCGGAACAATGTTCCCTTTAACAGCCCTAAAGTTCAGGCATCTCAGCCGCGACCACTTTCACTGTTACTGGCTGTGTGGAGACAAGGCAGCTGACAGGTGCTAGGACCCAGCATCTCAGACCAGCATGGGACAAGTCTGACTAGTTTAAGGAGACTGGTGAAGCTCTGCCCAAATAATCTGTGGGTGGAAAAGCACCACTTGCTACCGGAGAGGATGGTGATGATGACGATGAAGTTCAAGATCTTGAGGAGATTTTTGATGAGGCTGCTAAGAATAAAGCAAACTGAATACAGTCAACTTCTGAAG